GTGATTTCATTAGTTTTCTAGTTACTCTTGTCTTCCAGTGTTGTCATGACCTGATTTTTTTCATGTCAAAACAAGCAGAGAAAGGAGGATGTGGAAGGAAAACTTCATAGTGTAAAAAAGCCAAAATATTCAGAGGTTCAAATTACAATCAGTTATTTGTAGAGACACAGAACTCACTTTTAACTTAAATTACCCCAAAACCCCAAGGCTGCCTTTGTTAATCTTTGCTTTTTAGCTTTTTCTGATTCTTTAAAAGGTATTATTTAGCTAAGATGAAACAGTTTTTGACAGTGGTGGAACTCCTTTGCATTATCTCCATCACCACTCTAATTACTGGTATAAATAGAAAAACCCATTTTGACCACATGTTTTTTTAAATCCATTTTTCTCATGAGCGCTAGCAACAGTGGACTTCTAGGAGTTCTCTGCTTATTGTGTATTTCTCTGTCTGATAGTACTTCCTGAATTTTTCTTAATACTATGCCAATTTTCTTAAACAAGTCTTGTTCCTAATCTATGTCTCACTATGTCTCGTTCTTTGTCATGAGGTTTCCGCATGTATTGCCTCCCGTTGGTAGTGAATGCCTAACTTCTTTTCCTCACAGTAGTCGAAAAAACAAAAGCTTATTTCATGTGTGGATTTAACGTACCTCAGTGTGTCCCACTCATTGCGAACAAGTGGGAGATTACACCCAAGATGCTTTAGCCTCCTGAAGAAGGGAAATCTCCTGAAAAACATGCAGTAGTGACTTATTGCAGGGATGTACTAGTCTGCCAGCAACTCAAGCCATTTCACTGTGGATTTTGTGTAGCGTACAAAATTTGCATACCATATCACTGTTCAAATTGAGATGTTCATAATTGTTAAATGAAATGCAGCTGTCTTAGCTATGTTGAAAGGTCAAAGCTAAGGCTAGGAACATGGTTAATTTTTCGGTATTAGAGGTAGCAATGCCTACATGTACTGCTTTGTGCACCCACCGCTTTAATCTGAAACTCTTAAACTATTTCTGCATGCTAGCAAACAGAAATTCTGGAGTAGTGCTGTGACCACATCTCGGATGAATACATTGGGATGTTGGGGTTAAATGGCTTGTTGAAGGGCCCTGGGGTGAATCAATGATGATCCTAAAATCCTGATGGCTGGCCATCTTCTCTCACAACTGCAGGTGAGGTGGGGTGGTTAAAGTGCACAAGCGTATCTATGCGATACACAGAATGTCCTCCATCCGCAGCTCCAAGCGCAGCAGGACAAACGGTCTGTGAGAGGTCTCCACACAGCTGTCTGGAGTTTCTGCTTTGTAATGGGCATTCGTTCATGGGGAGCGAAATCCGAAATGTCTGGCCGTTGTGGCTGGAAGCTAATTCTTTGTTCATGGAGATCTGTGTTTTAATGCTGTTAATGTTTTCATTTCATTCACTTGTTAGAGCAATAAAAGAGATTGTATTCTTGGCAGATGGACGTAACCCCTGCCGAATGAGAACCTCTGGCAATTTGCAATTTGCCACCTGACTGCTGAGAGACGGCGGCTACCAGGGTGGCTGTTCCAGCCGGTACAGAAGGCGAGGCAAACCCAACAGAGCAATCCCTCTTCAGGGTGCTGTTGTGCTGCTGGAGCTGCTCGCTGCACTTCAGGAGGGCTGTTCGCACTGGTAGCAAGCCCTGTCTCTGGCTGCATAGGTGCAATTAAGCACTGGGCGTATGTCTGTGCTAGTCAGGAGTGGATTACAGCCTGGAAAACATACCTAGTCTACCATTGAATAAATTAGCTCAGATAAGAATCACACTTGAGATATGACATTGTGGGCTTGTCTTCTGAGTACTGGCTGCCAAGCTGCTCTGCAGCAGTTGCTCCAGCAAGGTGAGACCACACTACCTGACTGCACAGTAGATACAGCTTCAGTTATCGCTGCAGTCTCTGCAGTCACCTGATTTAAGTCATAATCTTGTTTCACGCTCTGCCGAACTTCCCCTCTGCACCAGCCTCGTTGCATGTGAGGTCACAGGACCATAGGATAATTCAGGTTGAAGGGACCCCAGGATGTCATCTAGCCCAACCTCCTGCTTAAAGCAGACTCAACTGTAAGGTCAGGCCAGGTTACTCAGGGCTTGCCCAGTGAAACTTTTGAGTTGCTAAAGGAATAAAAGCTAATTAAAGCTTTATGAAGCATGTCACAAGCAGGAAAGCTCACAGAGAATGGGAAAGGGGAGGCAAGGGGAAGACTGATGACAGTCTGTGTACAAAAGGAGCAGAAAGACAATGCTATGGCAGGAAAACTTTTTTCCTTGCATCAGCAAGGATCTCAAAGGCGATCTGGCAGGTAGGTTTTCATCCAAAAACTATTGTTTGCGTGGTAAGCCTGAGAAACTGTTCAGACTGCTGTGACATTGGAAGAGGATTTATTTTGTTTTTAACCGATGACATGAAGTGTAACTAATACGAGAGTCACTGGTATTCTTCCAGTGCTGTGAATATCAAACTGCTCAAGCCTAATTGCGATACATTGCAACTGCTCTGTCGAGGTCAACTAAAGACCCTGACTGTTGAAAACTGGTGGGATATCCCAGGGAAAGGATTGCTTTGCCTATACCCTACGCCCTTGCCTTTTTTCCCCTGAGCATTTGCTGGGGGCTTCTGTCAGAGATGAACTCAGAGAGAGGACTGGGAAATAATAAGTGAAAGTTATCTTGAAGTTGGCTCGTGGATTTGCCATCATAGTGCTATGCTCATCAGGTGCTTGTGCCTGAAGGCTCTGGCTGTGTTAAAGGCTTACTGGCTTTACAGATCATGTGCTTTTGTCTCAGTAATTTGAATACAGCATTGTCTTAAAATACAAACTTCAAAATCTGTAGCAGGAAGTTTTGCTTGTATAATGCCTAAACAGCGGTTCAAACTTTGGATTGAGATTTTATGGGCAAATGATAAAACACCAATAGCTCATGCTGTATTTTATAGTAAAGGCAAAGTGGAGCAGGAAGGAGAATATATGGGGAGTGGGATTGATTATATTGACGGGAATAAAGAAGGATTTCGTAGCTTCTGTATTGGGACTTAATATCCACATATATCTTCAAGCAAGCACAGTGTAAATGTTCTCCAGAGCTTTTTTTATGCAAGACACTATTTATGGTTAAAGGTATGGAAGGAGACTTTAATAGTAAAACTTCCTGTTCTTTTGATTTACTAAAAGCTAAGTAAGGAAAGGAAGATTAAAGAGGAAGGAAAGTCTAAATAGATTTTTGTTTCTGGAAACAGACTACAAAACAGCTCTTCATGCAGGGCAGGAATTATGCTTACAAATAAAAGTGTTATGTCTCAGAGCTGCTAGGGGAAGAATTTCACATTCAGAGATTATCATATTTGAAGTCTCAATTTCTAATAGGAAAAAACCCCGCTAGTTCCTGAATAAAAAAGACTTAAAAAACCAAACAAACCAAAAGCCAACCAACCAAAAAACCATAATGCTAAGCTGTTGACAAGCTTTTAATGTAATGTTTTCTTTTATAGTTAATGCATTTAGCTATTAACTTCATAGATATTGTAGTAATTAATAGATATGTTTATAGTCTATAATGGTTATATCTGCAGAGAAGATAATAAGATTTGTGTGCATTTCCTGCACTAGATACTCTCTCAAATCTGACAAATATATGTGGATGATACTAATCCCAGAACAAGGGAGAAATGCCCTCCCTCACTTAAAGTTGAATCAAAAACCAGTATTGAAGAACACTGAGGTATTGATCAAAGTGAAGGAAGAAACTATGGCAAAAGAACTGTGAAGTTGACTATAGTAAATCATTTATGTATTATCAAGTTTTGGAAATCAATTTTTTTCTTGTTTCTGTTTTGTAATTCCTTATGTGAAGTACTTCGTTCCTATGAGATAAAGTTAATTGTTGCAGAGCTTCATCCCAGGTTTGCATGTTACTTGCATAGTTTGCCTAGTACTGAAGCTACCAGCCAGCGCTGTGGTACGTTTGTGAGCTACGCTGTTATCGTCTTCATTTCCAGGGGTGGGTTTGGGTAGAGTTCACTTGTAAAGTAGTAAATTCTTGAATACTGCAGGGATGACTACATCCCTTTGTGACACATCAGCTGTTGATTAGTGCGGTATGTGGGGAAGCAGGTGGGATTTGTTACAGGTGGGATGAAAAAAGGCTAGAGTTTGACTTAGCTCACTTTTGAAAGTTTACTTAAAAGTTTAATGTGGTTGTTTAAGTGTCTTGCCTGTATGAAGAAAATAAACGTTGTATGGATTTCTCAAGGACAAGTTAATGCCTTTCAATTTCTATCTTCATATAAACAATTCCATTTTCAACACATACCTCTGATCACCTAATATTAAGCAATTGTATCTACTCTTTTTATGAAAAAGTTGAAAAAATATTGCTTGAAGATTAAAGACCACTGTTCCACTATCACCAAGTATATATAAATTGCTGTTCCCCAAGCATGAAACTGTTCATTGAAACACTTTTTTCATCATTAACTTGATCCTAGATGAACTATTAACAAATAAGCTTACTTGCTTATTTTAGGTTACTTGAAACAAATATATCTTGAAGTTGAAATAGGATTAGTGAGCTAATGAAAATAGTAGCTTTCTGCTTAGATCAGATGGGTAGGTGTTATCCAATTTGAAACAATTACTCTTGTCCAAAGATACTGTTGACTCAACTAAAATTTGCATAGGACTTCTTATTCATGTTCTCCTTTCCCACTCCTGTTGATGAGAATAGGTTTCATCTAAGAAAAGCCAAGGTAACTTTATTCTGCTTTAATAAAGTGGGTTGAAGCAGGGATTGAAATTACAAGGATTGTACTGTAAAGATACAGTAGGCAGCAATGGCATATGGCACCCACTACCAGATGGGAGGTGGTCTCCAGAAAATTTTGGTCCAGGGAAAAAGCATTTGCAGATCATGAAGCTGAGAACATGGCTACGTGTGGTGTTTGTGAAGCCTACTAGTGAAGTTGCATCATCTTTTTGGGCAGATGGTCTTGGCAGAAGTAGCATGGGCTTGGGCAGCAGTTCTTGGATCTGTAAGAGAAGCTAAGGCCAAGGAAATTCAAGGGCATATATTGGTGAGCAACAGAGCTTGTCTTGCCCCTGGGGGTAGATGCTTAGCTGAGTTGAAGGAAGAAATGAGCAGGTGGTTTAAATGAGGTGAAGCCCTGTCTTAGTACTGATTATTTTCAGTTAGCTGATACAGCTGATAGGCAGTTCAGAAGGTCATGGGTGCAGGGGTAGTGGTGTAGGATTTTGGCTGTATGAAAAACTGTGCAGTTTGAACATGGTAGACTATGGAGCTGTGTGAGACTACAAATAGATTTGGAAATAGAGCTGTGCAGTTAACTGCCTGTGGAGTTGAGGAAAAGCTGGCCAAAAGGTGCAACGCGTGATTACTAAGGCTTGCGAACAGGATTAATCTCTGGCACATGGGTTGAGTTCTTCTTATCCAAATTCTGTTCTTAAATCTCCTGGTTTTTTGTTTTTTTTTAAAGTGCGGCTTACTCTATGTTTAAGGCTATGTTACGTTTGTGTTCTGCTGTGGTGTGCTTGTGTATGTTTGCAAGCTGAAAGCTGTTCATCTCACAAGCATGTATAGATTTGTTCATGAAGCTGTGCTTTTTGAGCGGATTGGAGTCTGAAGTACTTTATGATACACCTGAATTGAGCTCAGAATATAACCTGAAAGGACAAGACTGTGAGTCTGCCAGCTTGTGAGATTCCTCCTACTGGTGTAATGCATGGCGGGACCAGGTAGATGAGTGGCACCTAATGTGAAGCCATAACAAAAGTCAGAAGTTTCAGGAACAATAAGAAAATAAATTATCGGTCTGCTAATAAGCCATTGTGTAATTTCCCTTCTTTTAAGAAAGAGCTGCTGGAAGCTGACTTCATTTTTTTTTTTTAAGTTCTGTTTTAAACCTAATCTCATAATCTTGTGGCAGGACATATATGTGAGTAAATAATATTCAATGTGCCCTATTATTAAATAAGAAACTCTTCTATTTACTTGTAATACAATGGTGTGAAAAATTGTTCCTTGCTTCTTCCTCATATTTTTTGTTTCCTGTCAGTTGAAGCAATTGTTCTCCATCTGTCCTTCTGTGCTTTACTACCACAGCAGCTGCTTTGTGAATCTTCTAGTCTATGTAGTCCTTTTGGCTTTTTGAAGAATAGGGACTTTTTTAGTACAAAAAGAGAAGAGAGCACAGGGCTTTGATCTTAAAATGAACCTTTAAACAACAGAGCTTCCAAAAGGAATGCAATGCATAGAATCAAATTAAAATTAAGGAATTTGGGAAGGTGGGAAAATGATGGGAAACATTTTCTTTATGTGCTGCTTGTATTTATCTTAGGTTTGTCAAAATGAAGAGAAGAACCATTCCACAGAAGAACTTAGCAAGTCTGAAATTCAGGAGGAGCTGAAAAAGGCTAACAGCCTTCCTAGTTTGACTCCTAGAATCAAACCAGCAGATAAAGACAAGCAACCCCGAGAAGGTTTTTTTCATTTTCTTGGAAGCTTATTTAATATTGCAACAAAATCTTCTTTGGTAGAATCTAAACCCTCTACCTTCCAAGATGTACCCAATAGATGTGAAAAGGATTTACAGAACACAAATACTCTTCTGGAGGGGACAGAGCCAAAGCGTCCAAAAATTGAAGAGCCTATCTGTTCTACAGCTAGAATAAAAGAGGATTCTGTAAACAAAGATGATGCCGTCTTAATTAATATTGGGAAAGATACCTCACAGGATCTGCAAGGAGGCTGGAAACAATCTGCAGATGTGCAAAAGTAAGTTTTATAATTTAATACTAAATATGCTAATGTTTGTGCGTGTATGTGTGCACACAGAACTACCCTGGCTAAGTTCCATTGAGTGTATGACAGTCATTTCTAAGGATGGTTGGAGTGTCCTTGACTCAACGTTGTGCAAAACTCTAGCAGCCGTTACCTTAAATGAATGGGGAAAAGTTGACTGCAACAAAATACAACTTTAAAGATGATTTTCTAGAAGTCTCCTGACTATGGATAGATCCAGTGTATGTCCATCTAAGTGTTAGGAGAGGTTATAGATGTGGCATTTAGAAATAGGTTCAGTAGTGTAGATCTACTTTAAAAAAAAAAAAAACAACCAAAAACCAGAAAACGTAAAGAGCTTATTTCCGTCCATATTGTGGGCTAAATAAAGGTTTGAATGTTTGTCCTTTTTATATCTCACTAGTTCAGTGGTTTTACTTCTGCAAGTAAGGCTTCCTCATTTTTGAACTCTCTTTCCTGGTTTATTTGACCTGGTGATTTTTGCATATTTGTTTTGTTTCCCCTTGTTCTTTGGGGTTTTCCTGTAATGTAAAAAATTTTATGTAAAATACTCAATTAGACTAAATATAGAACCTCCTTAACAGTCGTGTAGTATTTCCAAAAAAATGGTGCCAAGGGCACCAATGTGTGTTTGAGAGTAGAAAAGCAAAAACATTGGCTGTGGTCCACACTATGTATTACAAAATCTTTCTGACCATGGCATAAACACAGGCAATAGTATTCCAAAAACATTTGTAGCTGTTAGGTTGAATATTTGACTATATGTGGGCCAGTACAGCATAAGTTTGGAGTTAGGTGTGTATGTGTGTGGTACCTGTCAAATTTTTGGCAGGTGTCTAGCATATGAACTTGTCCACAGGCAATGAATCTGTAAGTCATGTTTACTCAGATTTTCAATACTGCCCAGGATATTTATTTCAAATTTTAGCCAAAAGTAATGATTTGGACTAACCGATAATTCTATCACAGTGCTCCTGCTTGTATTGCAGAATGGGAGGATGTATGGAGAAGAAACACCTTTTTTTTTGAGTTTGAAAACTAATTTGAGTTGTGTTCAGTATATATATCTGTGGCATGTGAAGTGTTTCACCTCCATATAGGAGGTCAGAGATTCCCAAAGTAGCTGCTTAATGAATTTTACTTTCATATTGGGGATGTCTCCAGCACTCTGTCCTTATTATTCAGTAGACTAATGATTTGAGGTGTCTGTCATTTACCTTTACATTATAAATGTAATGGTTGATCAGGATATGAATAGGAGATGTGATACCTATTCAGGTGAACTTAAGACTGTATTTCCACCACCAAAATACAGTACGGTTTGTAATTAATAATGGTTTTGTTCTCGTGAGTACTCTGGTATAGGCTGTGACGTGGACAACTGGTTTTTATTACAGATTCTTATTGTAGTAGCACACATCTGACTGACGCTTTTTCCAAACTGCGTGTTGCAGCCCAGTGCCACCACTTCATTGATCAATAGAGGAGAAAATTTCTCCTCCCCTTAGTTGTTACCTGGAGAGGCCTAGGAGCATTATGTTATCCAGTCTAGTTCCTGAACAAACTGTGTATTCCTTAAAACCTGTTGGGCAGGCTGGCTTGCTGCATCAATGTCTTGCTGCTATTTGCTGTTTCTGTAGTGTGCTCTGGAAACCAGCAAGTTGCGTGCCGTTGTGCCAGGGGCTGTGCAGACATACCAGAAAAGTCACTCCTTGCCTCAAAGAGAGCTTAGTCAAAAAAGACAGTAGACATTAATAGATCTTTTACACTTTTTGCTTTGCTCCATGTAGTTTCTTCCATATCACATCCCTCTCAGCATACTTTCTGTTGTACTTTCTTCAATGTTTGTGCTTTTTCTCTCCACCCACAGCTACTGATGGTATCATTCAGTTTGCAGTGGTAGTCTGTCCTCTATGCAGGTTTTTTTTTTTTCTTACTCTCTTCCCCAACAAAGTCAGTCCTCTTATAGGCTGTATGCCTCTAACTTACCTTGAGCCTCTCCTTTCTATTCAGACAAATATGAATCTTGATGGCCCAATATGTGGTGAACTAAACACGGCAATCGGAGCCAGCAGGTAAGTGGATGAGAGGCAGCCATGGTCAGTCCTTGCAAAGTCAAGTCTTTTTTTCCCCCCCCAGTCCCCTGGCTGATGCAATAAGGAGCTGGTGCACATCTTTCCTTCCAGGTAGAAACCTCTGCTGCTGGCTTTTTGAAGTGTACACATGGGCTTTGTTTGGCTTTCCCATTTTATTGATACCTACAGGCCTGTGAATAGGAGCAGTGGAAGTGATAGAACGTCTTGAGATTTTTTTGCTGCTCTGCTCATTTTGTACTGCAGCATTTGAGTAGATCTTGAGCAGTAAACTGATAATGTGCTGGGCAGTCTGTATGCATAGTTTAGAGGCTCAGATGGTCTCTGTCTTCATTTGCTTTTTGTGAATTCTTCAGAACAATGTGGCTCAATAATTTTGGCATTAGTAAAAGTTTGCAGAGTTCGAAAGGTGTGGGTCGCTGAAGTGAACCTCCTCACCCTGTGCGAGTACTTTTGAGTTATTTTGGTTTTGTTGAAATCAAAGTTGCAGTTGGCATTTTCAATTGACCATATTTTAACGTTGTCCTATACTGTTAGATAACCTATGCAAATCACTGTAGATTTTTCTCATTATAGTTTACTTGTTTCATTGTTGGGCAAGAATATAAAAATTTGTTGCTAGTTTGGAGGTAGGGGTGTGTTGGTCTATACAGAATGAAGTTTTTCCATGGACAATAACTTTTTGAATGGAAGAAAATTTGTGATTTTTTTTTTTCATTGTAGCTGTTGTAAAATTGGGCAAACATTAAACCAGTCATTTTCATTTTAAACTCTTTCTCAAAAGTACAGTGTACGTTCTGCCCTTTTTGGCTCAGGATACAAAAAAGTTAGACAATCTCTGTGCAACTTTTGCGTATGTTTTTCTCTGCTGACTACACAATGTGAACTGTTTCTGAAGCAATTAGTAAAGAAAAATTGAAATGACAGTGCAGAAGCAGAGGTTTGCACTGTTTACCTTTTAAAAAGTTTGAATCAAGGATTCCTCTTTGTTATGGATGTGATTATGCCATTTTCTCTTCTAGTTTATAAAAATGTAAAGGATGTAGAGCAGGTTTTTTTTTTCTCTTCAGTACTAGCTGGCTTCTTTACTAATTATTAACTAACTGGTTTTGATTTAGCGTAGTTAAACTGTAAAAGTGCTCCTGATTGCTGTCAGTTGGTAGGACTTACTAAGAAGTAGTTGGAAGTGGGTGCTAAAAGCACATGGATAATGATGGGGGGGAAAGATGTAGCACAAAGGAGCAGGAAGGTCGGTGGATATCGTGAAGGGAAGGAATGGCATGAATGTGGTCGTCTGTTAATCTCTTGAAGACTGGGTCCCAAAAGACAGATGAGACGTGCTAGGGATCCATATAAATTAAAAGGTACTATTGATTCCATTGATTGTTATGTTGAACTGCAATTTAATGTTTACTGTAGAGGCAAATTGAACCTGAGGGCTTTACAGATCCTTAAGACCACTGCATTATTAATTTAACAACTGTTTCCGCTGTCATGAGGAACATTTAAATGAATTTGTTAATTCTAAACTACTGTTAAATATTAAATTAGAGGTTATCTGTGGTTAGGGAAGAGGTTGCAATACGGGAGAGGGACAGTTGTTGGATTGCATAATCCCCATTAGAGTTGTTTTTAAAAAAACCAAAACAAACAAAACCCCCCCCCACAAACAAAAAAATCCCAAAACCAGAAAACCCCAACCAACCTTTCAGAACTAAAATACCTACCAAATGGTCTCAGATGCCTCTACCCAGACAACTTCATTAACCTCCCATCCTTAAAGCAATATTTTGCAAAATACAAGGAAATCAAACTGCTCTGACCTGTAGACTGAGGTTAATTTTGCCCTCACTAGGAGGCCTGGTGTTTGGTAAAGACTCAAGTTTCCAGGCCTTGAGCCAAGGAAAGTGGAATTCATGAGCTCTGTCTCTGGAGTTTGTGAAGGACAAAATGTGTAGGTCACGTTACTCCTCCATCACCCTAACTGGTTGGCATGAAGGTAATTGTACCTTGAGGGCTTCTGCTCCTTTAATCCAGAAAGTGGCAAGTGGTAAAGGAAGAGCACAGAGGACAAAACCATGATAAATTTGGCAAAGTCTCTAGGCAACAATTACTGTGGACAGTAATGTAATAATTATAGCACTGAAGATGGTGGAGGAGAGTTGGGTTGGCAAAGTCTCCAGTTATTGCCTCCTTTAGTCTTCCATTTATCTGGGGTGGTTGAATATTGCCTTTCCATTGAGAAGTGAAGCAAGGAATTGGGCTTGTGCTGTTCTACAAAAGGTTAATGATGAAGGGGTGAGGTCAGTAAAGTATAAAGTACAGTTTTAAAGTAATGCTTACTCGGCTATAAGTGGAAAAGAAAAATGCAAAGTAAGGTATTTGCTACTAAGTGTAGAAAAATCTCTTCCTTGGGTAAGATGGCAACTTTTTTGTAGAATAGTCCCCAGTGACAGAGGGGTGAGTATAAAAGTGAAAAGTTCACGCTTAGTTTTAGCCTTTGCACTCTTCCTTAATGATGTTAAAATCAGGCCTTTAGCTGATGAAATAAGCCCTAAAAATAAAACCATGGAACAGTGGGGATGCACTTCACCTAATTTCTCACTGCTGAAAGTCTATGTGAGAGAGATCAAGATTTCATACAGTAGGTGACAAATATAAAACATGGATTTGCCCCCATTATCTTTCTTTCCTATAATGTAAAACTCTTTCACTTACACAAATATTTCCTTTCATTAACAAGCAACAATTTGGCTTCAGAATTGAGGCTGTTTCTCTAAGACTCCTGAGAATGGACTTCCTACAGTACACACCTGTTGTCTTCTTAAGAATATCAGTCATGGTAATAGGCAGTACTCTCTATGGGTGACTGAGAACATA